GGAAATATTTAAAAAAAAAACCAAAACGTAGACGTAAATGGGGTTGGTAAACTAAATTTCAATGTAAAACAGCAAACTACAGGAGAACGGAAATTAAAATACAGGCAAGATCAAAAAATCTGTTAGACAAAGGTGCAGATTTGAGAGAATGATTCAGTGCTTGTTGTGTAGTTGAAAATCATTCAAGATCATACCCATTTCACATAATTGGTATTTTCAACGGTATAAGGTCATTAGTTCCGTACAGATTAAGAGGTAGGAGTTTATTACTTTGAAGCCAAAAAAGGATATTTTTTGAAAGAGGGCCGATTGCTTAGCAGACCAATCTTTTAGCAGAAAACATGGAAAATGCGTCATTTAGCAGACCAATGCATGATTGATCGACAGGCTCAAAAAGACGCTCAGTATTTGCTCAAGCTTCCCCAATTAAGACAATAATCTCATAATTTGTCAACAAAACTACCAACTTGATGTTTTCTAATTGTTCTGAGTCTGCTAAAAGATTGGTCTGCTAAAATTACAAGCACACACTTTTGAATTCCTAATTCAGTTTTTGTTGAAAATTCTCTCTGATTTCAATGGCATGGGAAAAAACTCCCGCAAGATGTCGTCTTGGGGAAATAGAGCGGATAGAAAGAGATCAGTGGCGAGAAAGTTTTAATTTGAGTTGCAATTAGGGAGAGAGAGAATAAAAGAAAGATTAACCAGCTAATTTTTTCTTCCAAGTCACGTTCACTTGGGCCGCCTAGTAGAGTTAAGAACTGAAAAAACTCCTAGTAAATAATAAAGTAAATAACAAGAACAAACTTCTAATAGCAAACGCCAATTGTTGCAACCTACGTCAAAAACAAAAATGATTATATAATTCCAAATTACTCAGATGCCGCTGCGAGCAAAAAAAATTACGGCGTTTCACTTCAAATTCGATTACTACTTACCAATTTTGTTTGAAAGAACATTGTTTCGGAATGCCTTCTAAAGCTGGTTTTTACAAAATTTTAACTCAATTTGAGAAAATAAACTAAAATTTTTGCAATTAATTTTCACATTCCGCAGTTTTTCTTGGCTGATAAATCATATGTAAAATTAATATTTTTAGGTTGAAAAAGTAAGTTATTTTTGTGAAAAAGTAATCTTTTCGTTCAAATTTTTTTGAGTCGGTACTATGGCAACACAAGCTGTTGTCGCAGGCAGAGCCGCGTTGTGCGACACTCGAACCGCCTAGGCTGCAATAGAGGCGGCCTGAATTGCTGCTCCTGCTTCACCTCATCTTGCAGCGTTATGCCACTAGCGCTGTTGGGTGCGAACGTAGCCGATTTTTCCGGCAAAAAGATGATAGGTTCACTGAAACTATTTTGAATTTAACAAGTGGTCTTGATCTTACAGCTGTACATGCTGACCGTGGACATCAATATCTTCATTTAAAACTGAAAGACAACGCTCTGATTTTGTATCAACAACAGAACCCAGCGAGTCGGGACGATTTTAACGGTGCCATTATCGATATGAGAGCCCATTTTGAAAATGTTAATCGTAATGAAATTCGGAAAATTACATTTTCTGCGCGGAATTTCATAGAAATTACTGAAACTCCCGAAGGGTTTTTGACAGCTCTTTGACAGCTGGCAGCTCTTGTTTTTTCAGAAGTTCAACGAGAACACCGAGTTTAAGATGCTTTCATGCATGGAACTTACAATCGGCTCCGGAGAAAGCTACTTAAACAGTCTAGAAACGCCGCTCAACAACTTTGTGATGGTCTGTGTCGTTACAGAATCATCAAAACTGTTTTGTTTCTTTTACGTTTATGTTCTGTCGTGTTTATCTTTTGAAAATGTTTTGTATATGTTGATGATGTAAGTAAGATCTGCAACTGACACTGCAAACCCGGGTTGACGTCCATATAAGAAAAATGCTTATCAGAAAGTTTCATATATGAAGTCTATTGAAAAAATGCTTATCATAGAAAACTCATACAAAATTTAAAGTGTTTTAAAAATTTTTACTGAACATTTTCAGTCTAATTGCTTCTTTTGAAGCTTTCTGGTCATTAAAAAAATGATTCGAAATTTTTAATAAAAATGCTTATCGTACAGTTTTTATGTATGAAAATTATAAAATAGTCATTGGGGGGTAAAAAAAAGTAACAAAAATATCAAAGTTTTAGGTAGAAAAAAATTAAATTGAACAACACGTAAAAAACGTAACCAAATTTAGTTTAAAACGGAGAAAAAACGTTATGTGCGTTGAAATTCGCATCTCAGTAAAAAGGAAGAAAATCGATTATAATTTAGGTTCATCATTGTCAGTGTCCACGAAAGTGAAACAAATCGATAATAAGGGATGAAAAAAAAGTTTTTGTTGCCTCAAAAAATAGTAATATTATAATCCACTTTTAATTGATTATAATCGATTTGTTTTCACTTTTGTGGACACTGACAAGGAAACTCAATTATAATAGATTTTTATTCTTCGAACTCCAATGCGGGTACGCTGATCAGCAGGACAAAATTCCAGAATTATACGCACCCGCCTCGCTTGGTAGCAAGACTTTCGGGCCCTCTCAATTTAAACTGTCCATATACGCCAAAGAATTATTAGCAGTTGACTTTGCTTTTTCATCTCATATAATTTTTTGTGGGAACCATCTAATGTATCTTTGTTTGGACTCTAATTTGGAAAAGAGGTTGCGGTTGCAGTCACTCCTCTTCCTACTAAAAAACTGCCATCCTCTCAGCCAGACGTTTCTATCCAACACAAAGCCATCTCCAAAATGTTTGTCTTACCTCCTTCAGAAATGCAGTAGCTCACTATTGGTTGAATTTTTCCTTTAAGAAAATTAAACCTACCGCATCCAGTTTCAAGCGTTAATAATCAAACAAATTACTATTTTAGTACCAGTCTTACTAAAATTGAGAAACAATCGATTTTAATCAATTAATAACCAATTATAATCTCTCTTTTTAAAATCAAATTTTAGTTAATTATAATCCATAATAATCGTTATAATCGATTTTTTTATTCGTCCATTTTTCGATACAATTATAATTGATTATAATTGAATATAAGCCATTATTTTTATTAAACTTTCTATTTCATTAGTTTTGCACAAAAATCCATTATAATCGATTATAATTGATTATAATTGCTTTTGTTTGTCCATTTTTGTCTTCGAATTTGCATCTAAATTGCTTATATTTTATGCTTTTTGTGGACGTTGGTTCCTATGAAAAATGAGAAAATTGTTTTGAAAGTTTTCCAATTAATTCAAATTTATAAGATTTTTTTTTTATTTCTTCCTCACTAGAGTTGTTTTGTGATGCATATTTTAAGCTTTTTTATACCCCAAAACATCAGCAAATTGATTTAATTTCATGATTGATTCGGAAAATTTATTTTTCATCTACAGCGGGAACCTTTCCTCTCATATGAAAGGATCTCTATGAAACTTTTGTCAAAAAATCATCATAATAATCCGTTATAATCGATTACTTACGCCTAAATTTGGATGCGGGAGTTGTCGCTAAAAATATATGAATAATTTCTTTGTATCATTTTCATCAAAGACTCAATTCTCAACCTATCTTTAGAGGTTACTATCATTTACTTGCGCGCTTAACGGATGTTGAAGGGGCCACGAACTACTTCCAGTTGATGTATCATTTTCGTGCATCAAATAATGTTCAGTGGTTCTGTCTCCAATTCAAAAAGGATCCAGTTTCGTTCGAACCAAAAAATCTGGCAACGACCAATGTCTTTTATCTATCATGTCCCAAAGCTCCTGAGAGCCCAGAACATCCCTCGGTACTTCTCGTATCTATTTCAATCCAGGTTCTGCTATGGACACTTAGTTTTCTACTATCACTAAGCAACTATAGACTGGTGCGAAACGTGTCGACTGCAACTAAATCTGACAACCATATCAGAAGAACCAGCACTAACCCAAGAGGGATATCATGAGGGTTGTCATGAGGGATGTCCGTGTCATGGTTTGAGATTTATTTTTTGACCGAGGTAGTTCGTGCACATGTCAGAGTTCGACCAATAATACATGGTCGGGAAGGCCTTCTAGTCGAACTCAAAGTCGAAAGATAAAGTCGAGTCGGTCAAAGCACAGAGTCGAAACTTAAAATCCAACAAAAAGCTAAAACATAAGGTCAAACACAAATTTGAAACATAAAAACGAGTTGGTCGAAACATAAAGTCGAACACAAAGTCGAAACACGAGTTCGAACACGTTTGAAATGTAGTGACGGTCGAACAAAACCCTGGCTCGAACTCATTCTAAACGTTTTCTCTCGGTCAAATACAGTCGACAAAACTTTTTCTCGGTGGAACTTGGTCGAAAGATAGATAACTTGGGCCGAGTCGGTCGAAATATATCAAGCCTGGGTCGAGTTTATCGAAAAATGCCCTTTTTTTTGGAATCGATTGAATCATAAATAGCTAACTTCTTCGATCCGGGACTGATCGAAAATTTCAAAAAACTTCAAAATATGATTTAACTACAATCTCAAAATCTTTGAAAGTTTTTATCAGCATGAATTATTGACATCCCCCTGGGTTGTTATTGGCTCTTCTGCTATTGTTGTCAGAAGCAGTTGCATTCGACATGCTTCGCACTGGTCTATCGTTGGTTAGTGGTATAAAAGTAGAAGAGACTAAATGACTAACTTGCTTAAACCTTTATATTCAGTTTCCGGATTTGTATTTTTCTAAACATAGTAGACTGCGAACTACTCATAGGAAACCATTGATGATCCTTGAGTAAATTGCAGTTCAAGTTTGTTATAACTGATCAGTTTAACTTATTAGACCGCTTTTTTCGTTATTGAAACAAAGTTGATCTCAACACGTCTCGTCGCTTTTACCAGTTTTTTTTCTTAAATCTATTGCGACTTTGAAAGTTAAGAGTCGGACTAAGATTGGTATTGAGCTAGGGAAATGCAAAAAGCTATCATGCTGAAAAAAAACAGCGTGAAAAACATACGATGTATCGATGTATTTATATCCGAATATACTTTATGAAATCACTTCATCAAATTATCTCAGTTTATTGATTGAATTTTTATCAAATCTGATTAAAATAATGTTAAAAATAGCCAAAAATTACAAAACAGAAGTTCTTGGTTCCAAATTAGACAAAATTTGCGAGAATCTTGTTATTGGTTGTTTTGATTGTTATTGTTCGTTCATTTTTGACGTATTCCGGTATATTTTTGACATGTTTTTATGTTCATTGTTCTCAATGTCAATTGTTTTTGTAGTCCTCAAGCAAGAGTTTGACCACGTGATTCCACTCTCTTTCGAAGCGAGAGGTAAGGAGGGCCTTTTCCTTGTCAGTCAAGAGAGAAATGTAGATTGAGTCATAGGCCATTCTCTTCAGCACTCGAAGGTCACTATGCTTATGAGTCATGGCCATCACCAGAGCGTAAAGGTCATCCGTCATCGGCCTGAAAATCATAACTCAAGGCTCGAAGCTCGGCCATTTTACACAAACAAAATAAAGAGTAAAATTTTCTTGCTTCAAACACGAGGGCGTGGAGCAAATGCGTTTTTTTTCACCCAAACAAGAAGAACAGCGAGTAATTCAAATATTTTATTTAGGCCCTTCCTTGAGTTAGTACCAGTACCGAGAGCATTAAGACCCGGGTCGAGGTGCCAGACTCATGTCCAGACTTTGAGGGTCACGCCGCATCCGAATTTAGACCCAAATTGCATAGTCGCGCCGAAAGTTTGAGTCTGAAAAGTCTGGACATGCGTTGCGCCGTGGGCCGCGAAAGTCTGGACATACAAAAATTTGGTCGCGAAAGTTTGGACATGGGTCGCGAAAGTCTGGACATAACAAAGTTTGGTCGCGAAAGTTTGGACATGGGTCGCGAAAGTCTGGACATACCAAAGTTTGGTCGCGAAAGTCTGGACATACCAAAATTTGGTCGCGAAAGCTTGGACATGGGTCGCGAAAGTCTGTGTCTAGTTTCCTGAAACGCAAGGTCGCGCCGTATCCGCCTCGGTCGCGAAAGTCGCGCCTGAGTTTTTTGGTCGCAAAATTTTGGAAATGGCAAATCTTGGTCGCGAAAGCCTGGACATACCAAATATAAGTCGCGCTGTTTTGGTTGCGCCACCTCCGCTTCGGTCGCTGAGGTCGCGACGGATCATCATGGTCGCGAAAGTCTGGAAATGCCATGTTTTGGTCGCGAAAGTCTGGGCATACCTCATGTTGGTCTGGAAAGTCTGGATATGCCAAAAATTCGTCGCGAAAGTCTGGACATGAGTCTGGGACCTCGACCCGGGGGAAATTAAATTATGAAAAACATAAAATACCCCTCACCCCACAGCCTAGAACATAGTTATAGCCATCTGCGCTGTGATTGTATTATTATTGAGGGCTACAATTTGCTTGGGAGTTAGTTTGCTATAGTGGCTATAGGACCTGTTAATTTGAACGTAATATAACTTTGCTTTATCAATAGATCATTACGTGGCTCTTCTAAAGACTATTGAGTTATTTATATCAATGATATTCCCAACATACCACATCACAGTGAATGTATTCTTTATGCAGATAACGCTTAAGATTTTTCGAACACTCAACGAAATTTTAAAACTTATAACAGATTTTGAATTATTATCAGAACGGATGGAAAATAAAAAACTTACATGAAACAAAGGAAATGCACAAAAAATAATTACCAAGGCAGTAAAAAAATTTGAAAGTTTTACCTGGAACCAAAACACGATAGAACTAAAAAGTGCACTTGAATACCTGGTACTAATTTTGGTTAAAAAAGTTACCTTCAACCAATATATTGAATCAGTAAGAAAAAATTGCAAATGAATCATTTCCATTTTTTATCAAAAAAGACGGTTTCTCAGCTCATCTGTTCTCATTAGAATTTTTGAGCAGTTTATAAAACCAATATAACAATATGGTGTATTTGTATACGGAGTTGCCAAAAAAACCGCTTTAAAAAAACTGCGAGTACAACAAAAATGAGAAAAGTGCAGGAAATGCGAGTACAACAAAAAGTGCAGCGAAATTTGCGAGTACAACAAAAATGAGAAAAGTGCAGGAAAATGAGAAAAGTGCAGGGAATTTGCTCAATCAATGAAATACACGTATACGAAATGAAAATGCTGAAATTACTCTCTAAAGTAATAAGACGAGAGCATGAAAATGACAAAGTTTTTTCAAAACCAGAATTAGACAAATCACTCGATATCACTAGAAGAAAAACAAATCAATAACAACAAAAAAAATTAACACGAAATAGCAAAAAAAATAATATCTGTTCGAATACGGACACTATATAAATTTCTAATTAATTTCAGTAAGAATATCGTTAAAGAAATTTTAATTGACCTTAAGCAATCTATAGATAACCTTATGCATAAAATCAGAGATACTCATTTAATTGATTGCGACTACTTCAGCAATTTTTTTTGGCAAAAAAGTAATAGGATAATTTTTTTTAAAAAATCACTGAAGCTTAAAACGTAAACCTAAGAAACATCGTGCTAATCGAAATAAAGCCATTAACATAAAATATAATTTTCAAGTCTGCTAACTATTTTTTTTGCTACTTTTCTTTGCTCGTAATTATTTCTGAAAAAAATATTAGTAAGCTGCAAGATAAGTGAACTGTAAGATTTCAAAATTTAGATTTTGTCTTAAAATTTTTTCCCTAAATGAATTTAACTTAGATTCAACAATCAGATCCATATAAGATAGTACTTTCAAATAGAAAGTTCTCAGCGGCGCTTCAACCATTTGAATTACCTTCTGCGCTTGCTCAAGTTGGTACTCTTTCAATGATAAATTCTGTATATTGTTGGATTATTGCACTACTTGAAACAAATTTATTTATGTATATTTAGTTCACATAAATTAGTTCAAAAATGAAAAGTTTGGAGCCGTTTTTTCCATTGCTGAAGTTCTTGAATGAAACACTTGTTTGCTCTAGCTTAAGTTCATTCTCACATTCTGTAATTGGTGTGTCATACTTTTAGAACCATATATTTGCACTTAAAGATCAATTTTCATGCTTTATGGGTAGGTGGGCAGAATAAATATCTTAATTTCAGATTAAATATTTTAATTAAATATCTTAAATATCTTAATCTTAAAAACGGAAACTTAAAGGTTGAAAAATATTTGGTCTTCAGTTTATGAAAAAAATCAACTTTCAATTTAGCCTCTCAATGCGATAAACTCACTTGGTTCCTAGAATGAGACAGTCATCCGAGTTTACAGAGAAGCGGAGTGGTTTGTTCGAAAGGAGTCCAGGCTTGTTGGCAGAGTCGAGGAGTCGCTTGTTTCTGTGGTTCCTCAAGTCATCAACTAGTGCCAGCACCTGGTTAGAAATAGGGTTTAGCTCCAGTCCAATTTCTAGTTCCCGTACTAATTCGAGCATCAAGGGATGGGCATCCAGAGCGTATCCGTGACCTAAAGTCTAGGTTGCTAGTGATATGATAAAGATTAGGCTAGGCTTCTTGAAACAAAGCAACCATATAATGAAAAACAGCTTGCTGAACAAACTAATTTGTTCTAAATTGTTAAATAATTACTTCGACTTCCAAATTACTCAACCTTCGGCTAAAAACCCGTCACACGCAACAATTGACTCAAGTTAAATCAAACAATTTTCAGTCGACTGAACACAACTGTTTCCTGGAGGCAACTTTGTTGATAAAGGTATAAAATCCCGAATACTCCTTAGAAGCTCCTAATAGCATATGCAACTATCTCCACCCCCAATTGATGATGTTTAAAGATGACCAACCGATTCTTTTAGTTTTCAACATGACCGCATCGATCACATTCTGGTCCGATTCAAACCCAGTCCAGAGAGTCTCTCCAGCATGGAACACAAATGGCATGGTACTCTGAGACTTATTTCTCCAGTCCAGCAAAACGGGCAACACAGATTTAAGTGTCCGTCCGCTCTCTTCGGATCCGACGAGATCGAAACCTCGGACCAGATCAGAACTCTTGAAGTACTTGTCGGCTGCTTCCAACTTCATTCGCAGCTTCTCGTCCGTAAGACCTACTCGTCCCTTCGACAAAATATAATTGATCCCATAGAAATTGGGATGCTTTTTTCTGTAGAACTCAATTCGCTCCTCCAGGTACTCTAGAACCTCATCATAAGGAACCACCGTTCCATTTTTGAGCATCAAGTCACCAAACCCGGTTCGGAACTCGGCATATTGAATGTTGTCTTCGACTAGTAGATCCAAAGTGGAGTCCAACATTACTTTCCAGACATGGAATGCATCTTTGGCACCGCCAGTGGGTCCGAACTTGTTCTCAAACTTGTCCCAGATGTACTGGATTGTCTCCTTGTTGTAGTCGGTTCCATCGTACATGCTCAGCTGGGCAGTCAATGTCTTCAGTTCCTCCTTGTAAGCAGCTTTATTGGTCTCAGTGGGACATTTTCGACATGTCACGTGATCTCCAGATTCATTCACTGAAACAAAAAAAAATTTTGGCCTTCTGTCATTGGGTAAGAAATCCCTAAAATGAGCCGAGATGATCAAAAATTATTTCAAACGAAATATAAAAAATAGCTCTTGGTTATTGTGTAAACAATCGCAAACTTACGGGAATCATCAAAAATTATCTCATAAAATCCAACGCCAGTGTTTTCAAAGAATGATGTAACTCAATACTCTATTTAAATACGCTAAAGTTTCGAGCTAAATCTAAATTAACACGAAAACGTTGAAATGAGCGAATTAAGAAAACACTGAATTAGTTGGAGTAAGCGATAACAGCAAGTTTAGACGGTACCATCAACGTCAATTTTATTAAGAGTAGGTTACGAAAGCATTCAGAACATTAGTGGACCATTTTTGATTTTGGGTCCTTTTTGAATAAACACATTTAAATCAAACAACTTCTCAAGTTTTTCTGAAAATCGAGCACAAAACAAGCTCATACGAAGACTTATCACTTTTTACGAAAAACAATTTTACGAGGAATAATTTTGTTAGTTAAAACTTTCAACGAACCTCCTTCGTCGAAGTAATTCAACACATAGGTACCGTTTCCCTCGCATATCTTACAGCCTTCGATGCTAAGCAGTAGTTTCGGATATTTGTTCAAGTCGTGAGTTGCCGACTGATGTGCGTGCAGCAGAGCACCCTTCGGAAGTCGTCGGATGATCTCGTAAACAGCGTTGGTCGGCCGGTTTGTGAAGTGTCGTGTGGTGAAGTACTCGGAGTGACGGAAGAGGGTCTCGTTGTCGAAGCCTTTTTCCAGCAGTTTCGCTTTGCGCTCCACGTAAACTTTGTTGAGCAGATTGTCGTTTTCAGTCAGGTGTTGAGAGCTGCCGAATCTCCATTCCCACTCCTAATAAGAAAAAAAAATGAGGTTCAACAATACGAAGCGATTCGATTGTTAGATTTAGGAGTTACATTAGATACAAGTTTGAAAAGAGTTCAGAATTATTTCTGGACTTTTGGTGAAATGTTTGGTAACTAATCTGTATAATAGTTTATGAATTTATCGGAAAATTTTTTTATTTCACAGACTAAATAGTCAAAGTTTTGCTTGTTTATTTTATTATACCACCTCCCTGTCAAAGTTCTTAAAATTTTTTGCGTTCCTTTTTTCTCTTGAAATTTTGAACAATTTGGCTAGTTGAAAAATGCTGCAATTTTACCTTTAAAGACCCCACGCACTTTTTAATGAAATGCAGCTGTTAATGGTTGTTTGGTAGCTGTTAATGCTTCAAGAAGAATGTTTTTATCCAACTGTAAGAACTCATTGTACGAAATACGAACCCGTTTTTCGATTTTGTTTGTTGCTCTCGTAGTAAGCTTACTTCGGCTGTGAAGTATTTTTTCTTGTTTTGGCTGTTTTGATAGTATCTGTCATCTCCTGTTCTTTTATGTGTTCTGAGTTAGGACTGGAGTGTATAACTCATAGAGTAATTTCGGATAGGGTACACCGTCTGCTCGTCACGCTATCTTATTTTCGGCCGGATAGATTCGTGCAACTTCTTAGTCTAATACCGATCCTAATCTTACTCTTATACTATCTAGTCTCAGGTTGTTTAACTAGTCTCTGCTAGGCTCAATAGATCTAGGGTATACTGGTTTATTGCGGCTGCTGAAGTGCTCGGGAGAGTCCAACTAATTTCTAAGTTAAATTCAAATCTCTCTGGTGCTGAAATTACAAGTAACTTCAGCACTTACAAATAAGTGGGTTGTTAGTTAGATGGATCATGATTGGTTAATATTAAATACTTTACATTGGTAAAACATTTAATTTATCCAATCATAAAATATAGTTTAGATCAGGTTCCACCCATCCGGGTTTTACAGAGTTTTTTAGAACAGTTCTTCTGTAATTCAAGGATGGATGATGGACGTTGGCATTTGGCGAACATCATTTTTCTTTTGTTTCCCTTTTGTTAAGGAAGTTCCAGGGAGCTGGAGTTAAGGACATAAGACGTTGTGTTCTTCTTGTGACAACGACTGAGTCTCTGCAACAGCATCAATTCTGATTTCAGAATGGTTGGCTATGTCAGGTTTTTCTGTTCTTCGGAGAGAACTTCTTTTGTGTTTGATCTAGCTTGGGAATGGCGTGGAGATTGTGCGTGGAGGGGATGCCTGGTTACTCGGATCTGTACGTATACTTGAACATCGAGGTGGTCATTGGTCTAGTTCAATGAAGTCCTTTTCTGCGAAGTCAAGTCGTACTCTAAATCCTTTGAGTTGTGATTGTGAGCGGCATATCGATTGTAGTTGGTCATTCTCTCTCGAGTGTAGTGGGGTCGTCTTGTCTTTTGATGTTCGTCCTTGGTGTTGTATTCTGATCTATATATTGCATCATGTGATTTTACATTTTATAAAACTTTTATTAGTTTAATATTTTTTAATAATGATTTTAGTTAGTTGTTTTCACAAAAGCTTTTTGTTTTAGTTCGGTTATTTTGAAGAGTTACTCACCCTTGAGTAGCTCTTATTAAAAATAAAGGTGTGGTCACAAAGCGTGGATGTAGCGCGGTGGGTTAGGCCGGCTATAGAGCATGCTCAGGACGTCCTTTCCTGGTGGGTTAGGCCAGGTGTGGGAGTATGATTTCATGCGGTTTTTGTGAGGGGTCCTGTTATGTGACAACGTTTTATGTTGGGTTTGTTGTGGTTTTACTTATGTCTTGTTGGTTATGTACTTTTTCCAAAAAGCAAATTGTTTGTGGTATGGGTTTGTCTTTCGACTTTTTTGTGTTTTATTATTTCTTTCTAAGACTTTGTAATAGTCTTCAAAAGAATAAATTATCCAGTTTTAAACTGGGTTAATCCGGTTTGGGTACCGTTGGTTTCCTTTTCTTAGTCATGCTGTTATTCTATGATTTGTGGTATTTAGTAAGCTGCGTTGGTTAGTTTTGTTTAGTATATGATTCCTTCCAACCGGGTTAAAGGAAAGTTTGAAACATGTTATTATATGTTAGAGTTGTTGAGTGTGAAAACTTGAAACTGAAATTCATTATTTTAAACAATTCTTTGTGGGCGAGCTGTGCGAGTGTGGATAGAATTTCTGTGCGAATGAATGAAAATATCAAAAGGTTAGTACTGCAATTGCATTTTATTAATTTACTGCATAGAATTTGGAAATTTACTGCTAGTTATGGGGAAATTTTAAGATACAAATTTTCATCATAATTTAGATTTACTGCTTTTGGGGAAAATTTTATAAATTAATTTACTGCATTGGTATTATATTTATTTAATTGTTGGTGCAAAAGTTTAATAGGGTCTTAAACAGTTTTGAAGAAGTTTGCTATTTTTTATTTTTCTTTTGTGAATTTTTCAGATGATCTAGGATGAAGGCTAAAAATCTAAAGAAAACATGAATAAAGAATGGTGAGTTTTTAATACTGTAATTAGTTAGTAATATTTACTTAATTTATACTTACCTGTTAGTCGTCGGGGAAAAAACCGTGGGGGAAGATGTCGTGAATTAGTTCTGAAGTTGTTAGTAGTTTAGCTAAGATGCGGATGATATTTTTAGTTTGAAGCAGTGGCCAAAGCAATTGAAGTGCCTTAATAGTGGTTAGTTCTTCAGTGCCTACTGCAAACTCATAAGGTGTGTTTTGGATTAAGTTATATAATTTGTGGTTAAATTTAGTGTTGTGGATGAATTCTAAAATTGGGATTTCTATAGGTTGTACAAACTCGTGCGGGATAAGGAAGGGTCGGGATTCTTCTGCGTTGAAGGTCTTGGTGATGGGGCAGAAAATGTACATTTGGGTTATGGGATCATAATTACGAAGAATACCATGAAGGTTAGTGTCTTTAATACAATATGTGAAATTTAGGAAATACGGTGAAGTGTATTTTGAATTGATGAATTGGAAACGATGGTGTGGTTGTCGAGAGGGTGTGTGGAGGTCAAAGTGATTTTGGATGAAACGATAGTAACTGTATGTATGTGTTTGTTTAGTGCGCAACATAATATCGTGTGAGCAGTGTAAATCTCTTTCGTGTGGTGCAAGGAAATGAAAGGTTAGTGAAAAGATTTGGAAGCGTTCTTTAAAACTTTCGTATGCTTGTGTGTTTGTTAGTGCTTCTGAAATAATGTGATCAAACTTTCGGTCGAAGATGTTTAGTGTAAATACATATGGTGTCTTGATGAAAAATTTCTCGGTGATTTGTGGATTAGCGAAGCGATCGTCGTCTAAGAATTGATCTTGGTTAGCTCTGATGATGTTGTGATCGTAGTATTCTAGTGTATATTCATTAGCTCTAGGTGCAGTGTGTATTTTTAGTGATTTTTTATATCCTACGTAAGTAAACTGTCTAGCGGTGAGTGGTGTAGTTAGTCGATATAGCATGTCTTTGTTTCGGTCTATATCGATGGAAGTGTTGGTTAAAGGTAAGCAAAGAGGGTTAGTGAAATGATAGTATGAGGTCCAAGAGAGAGTGGGCATTAAAACGTATTCATCTACAAAGTTGCGTGTTTCGTTAGCGTCATGAGGGGTGTTTAAGGTGTACTGTGGAAACGAGGGTAAAGTGATAGCTAAAAATTCTTTAGTGTTAGTATGCTGGGGGTGGTTGATGTATTCACGGGCTGTTCCTGGTTTTGCTGGGAAAGGATGGTTGGGGAACTTTCTTTTAAAAGTGCGGTAAGCTCTATTAGTGTTGAGTGAGGATTCAGTTGATGTGGATGATGGTGCTAATGATTCAGTATAATTTGAAGAGGGTGTAGGGGGATTGGATGAATTTGTAGTGGAGGAGATTTGGTTTATGGTCGGGGTGTTTAGGTGGTAGGGTTGTTGTTGGAGGGTAATAAAATTATCTAGTTCTGGGGAGATTCGGGGGGTGTCTGGAGAATGAGATGATTGGTCAGAATGGTATGAAGAGTAGGTTGGGGTAACTTGGGAAGCATAAGAGGGTGTGGGAGTGATGGGGTCAGGGTTATTGGGTAATATGGGTTGAAAAGGGGGTTGAGAAAAATTAGAAGGGTTATGAAAATTATTGGATGGAGATGGTTCTGAGTCGGCAAATTCATCGGGGGTTTCAATATTCGAGTTATTTAGCTGTGAGATGGAGTATAAAACTGAAATTTGTGAGTTAGTGTCGGAATTCATGCCTGATGTTACATTGCTAGATGGAAAATCGGGTGGCGGAAAAGCAAAAAGTGGTATTATTGGGATTGAAGAGGTAAGGTTGGTTGGATGGGAATTTGATCGATGGAGTGATCCAAGTTGGCGGCTCATCGTGGGCTAAAAAAATGATTATTTTGAGATTGAAAAGCGGTGGTATGGGGCTGTTCAATAATTTGTTCATAAGTATTATCATCTTGTGATTGATGTGTCATTATATGTTGGACACTCACCTTTGTGATGTGGTGAGTCTAAAATTTGGATTATGTGTGATGGCTAAATTTCGAAAATTTCGTGGGACTAGGGATAGTGGATGGTTATTTGGGAGGGGTGGTAATTGTGGTGCCGTTGGCTGTGTGTCGACATTGTTATGTTCTTCGTCGTATGTATTTTGTCGTGTTGTTATTTTTGTGTTATATTCTTTTATTTGTGCGTCTAAAAGAATTTTGTTTATAGATGTGGAAAAAATTCCAAAAAATCCTGCAAAAAGTATGCGTGCTACGCTTGCTTGTCTGTTTACTTGTGTGTGTATAGCACATGTATTGTAGATTCCTTTTAAAAGTGAGAAAAGAAATCCAATAAAGTTGAACATTGCGTATAAAATAGTCAGTCAATTTTTCTAAGATGTAGTAGGGCCATCCTAGAAAATCGAGGATCTCATTTTTGAGTGTAACAAAGCTAAAAATGTTGATTGGTGATATATCTTGGGGACGGTATTTTTCGCCGTTTAGATATATATAAT